TAGGGACTCTAGGAGAGTGAACAGCTGTACACACCATGAAGCTTGACTTTATTGGGCAAACTGTGAACAGCTTTAAAAAAAGAAAAGAATCGGTAGGCGCATGGGTAAGTATGTTTGGGAGAGAAATCACTGCTGCTTGAGCAGATGTCATTTTTCACAAAACCATTAAGAGTTGCTTGAAGGATGCTATGAGCTTGAAGTTACGGGTGATGTAGTTGATACTGCTGGTGCTACAGCTCTAAATTAAGCCCCATTTCTGTATCAGTGGTGTTAAACTAGAAATACACCATTCATGAGCACTGTGGCTGGAGGCTTTAGAAATTATAGCAATTTTTAAAGCTGTGTTCTACCATCTTAACTTCGGAATCTCTTGGATGACTAAAATGTTAATTCCTGGACCTACAATGGATTGTGTGTAAATGGAGTTGTTCTTGCGTATAGAGCTATGGAACTGATGAACTGAAAAAATGGGTAACCTGTCACTGCCAAGATTTCTTCAGGGTAATCAGCTATTCAGTCTGAGATTTCTCTAAGAATGACAAGCTTTGGCCAACATTCATTTTCAATTTGCAACAATAACAAAAAAGTTTGTGTCATGATATTTTAGGAGAATTTAATTTCTGTAGGATAACTATACATGGAAAATATTATCGGAGGTCAGGAAACATTCAGTTTTCAGGCATCGCATCTACAGGACAGCGTAGTCACTGAGTTGAAATGTGCCAGCTAATCATTCTTCTCTTGTTGTAACAAATCACAAAAAGTTATAGTATTTCATGAATGTACGTGAACAAAAGACTATGGTTCCAAACATGTAGAATAAAATCCTGAAATAAATCAGTTTTTATGCACTGGATTGCCTAAAGCTACTGAGCACTTGCTGTGTAGCCAGCTGAAATGTTTTGCACCTCTGAAACCTGAGGTGAGACCTAGGTCTTCTCTCCCTTAAGTTATGGGCATTAGAAGTGCTGTGTGTACCTACAGCTGTAATCAAGCAAACTTCTCCAGCTGACCCAAGAATACAGTTGGCTTCTTTCAGATGCAGCTGTGTGTAGCCCTTAGCCAAATGGATGGGTCATCATGATGAGGGGCCTCTGGAAGGAGAGGGATATGGAAAAAAAGCAAGAGAACTGCCAAAGTGCCTCCCCCAGCAAAGCAGGCTGTTGTAGAGAATAATATTAAGTGCTGTTGGTTTTGTATAGCCACACTAAAAAATCCAATAGAAAACACTCAAAGACCTAGAAATTTGTTACTAGTCAAGATGTTTATATACTCTTCCTCTCAAGATTAAAGAAATTATTTTAAAAGGGTCAGAGGCTTTACTTGCAATAAAATAGTGAATTCCAAATAGAACACTCCAGTGTTAAAAACACACATATGCACACAAAAAAAATATCAATGTTCAGGGTGTTAATGATTTGTGGTTTTAATTTTCACTCATTTAATTGTCTCTTTTGGATTTTATTTCTGTCTAAGTCCTAAGTTTGTGAGGATGGCAGATCTTTCCTAATATTTTCCACACTGCAGAAGTAAGGAAGGCCGTAACAGCTGTGATCATTTCTCTGGAGATGCGTATGATCTGTAGGATCGTACAAAGGCAAAAATGACTCCGTACTGCCTCTAGGCGTTCCCCCTCCTCCTCAGGCTGCCAACTGTTAAACCAGAGTCTATGTAAGCCACTGACAGGTGGGAATCTGGTAATTTCAACAGCATCTTTTCAGATACTTGTATCACCTTGCACTGGCCATATTTCATTCACATAAGAATTTTCACTGGTTTATCTGTTTTAGAGCTGCTTTGCATCACTGGACCCAGCTTAATGGATGGGAGTCAAACTATATGATTTTGTTCCAAGCAAATATGCAGGTGATAGCTCATAAAGGAAGGTTTACGAGAGAAATTTAGTACACAGGGATCTTGAATTTACTGCCTCTTTTCTGCTGATAATCTTAAACTGTTTCTGACTCACTGTCCATCCTATAAGCTCAGACTGGAAAGGCAAGACGATGTATCAACTTTCATAAATGCCTGAAATAGGTGTAGTAGGTCTGAAATTGCTGTAAATGAGGCTGATCTGATAGCATTGTTGTATCTGATGTTTTAAGTTTGTCGACATATTTGCATGCATATTAGGAACTTAGAAGCAGCAGGGAAAAGAGACATTTCTGTATTTGATTGTTTTTATTCCACTCTTTGATCAAGTAGACCTATGGTTGTCTTACACCTGGAGGCTGTTCTCCATGTAACAGAACACTAAATGCCTTTGGCTCATGCACCTCAATCACTAAGAGGGCTATTGCAGCAGATACAAAAGTGGTAACAGCCAGAACATCCTTCTCTGGTTGCCGGGCTCCTGGAAGGCATAGCCAGCCCTGTGCTTAAAAACGTTAAGAGGAACGGAAGCTGGAACGTGATGCTGACTTTAGGGACTCTAGGAGAGTGAACAGCTGTACACACCATGAAGCTTGACTTTATTGGGCAAACTGTGAACAGCTTTAAAAAAAGAAAAGAATCGGTAGGCGCATGGGTAAGTATGTTTGGGAGAGAAATCACTGCTGCTTGAGCAGATGTCATTTTTCACAAAACCATTAAGAGTTGCTTGAAGGATGCTATGAGCTTGAAGTTACGGGTGATGTAGTTGATACTGCTGGTGCTACAGCTCTAAATTAAGCCCCATTTCTGTATCAGTGGTGTTAAACTAGAAATACACCATTCATGAGCACTGTGGCTGGAGGCTTTAGAAATTATAGCAATTTTTAAAGCTGTGTTCTACCATCTTAACTTCGGAATCTCTTGGATGACTAAAATGTTAATTCCTGGACCTACAATGGATTGTGTGTAAATGGAGTTGTTCTTGCGTATAGAGCTATGGAACTGATGAACTGAACAGAATTGAGACTTTAGGTTTGGATTGTAGGTGAGCAGTATTGAAATGAAGTACGCAGTATAACATAATGGATTTCATCCTCAGATTGCACATATGCGCTCTATTTAGTGACCTCACAAGGGCCTTGCGTAAGACTGCCTCTGAAATCTTAGGAGTATTTATTTTCATGATAACTTACACAGAGAATGCACAAAATTTTGTAATAGTTTTCATTAGCACATGTAACTGCCAAGATTCGATTCTAGGTTTGAACACCAACAGATGGACCTAATTTTTTTCATTCAGATGAAACAACAAACTGTCATCATTTATTGTATGCTTGATTAATGTGCTTTGGTGTTGTCTTGATAACTTGAAGTAGTGGCTTTTCCTTTCATAATAACACATTTTGTAATATATTTCCTTTTTGTCTCAGATACAGACTTGGCTCTGGTCATTGGTGCAAATGACAGAGTAAAGTGAGCAGCACAGGAAGATCCCGATTGTATTATCACTGGCATGCCAATACCAAAACTCTGGAAACAAAAAGGTACTAAAGACCAATGACAGAGTTCAGTACAGTGTTAGTTATGGTATGTTGATTTCTCACAAGAAAAGCTCCAACAAAGAGAGAGATAAACAAGAAATGTCTTTTCTAAATTGATGCCTCACAAGATGAATGTACACAGGCACGTTTAACTGAAAATGGCCACTGGCCTCTACAGAGAGGGTAGACCTTTGCAGGGGCCTAGAAAAATAATTCCTGGCCATTTCCATAGGACCAACCATATGTTGGAACAGCAACAGTATTGCATGTTACCTTGCTTGCTTGAATCTAATGTGTTAGTTTTTGTGGACTTTAAAAGATTCGAGATTTCCTGTTTCTTACCACATTATATTTTTTTTCCTTTTAAAATGAGCAAAATCAGATAGGCTATGCCGACGTTAGAGATTATACTGCATTTAGAAGTTTGGCAGTGTAGTTTTGTTGGCAAATTCCCTGGCAGCTGCTTCGGGCATTGATTTTAAACCAGTTCCCCAGATAAAGCAACCCATGTTCAAGGAAGAGAGGAAGCTTTTGGCAATGTAAAGGTTTCTATGTTATATTTTTTGCCAACACAGTCATGATAGAAAAGAATGCAAGCATTTTTGTACTCTTAACTGGCAAAGGTATGCAGATCGAAGCCAATATTCTAAACACACTTAGACATGTGTGAGGTTATAAGAGGAAGTAGCTTGATCCAACTGCTTCAAGTAGACCGAGGTGCTTTACACAATGTTTCTGAAAACTGAAGCTGTATCAAGTTGCTTCCTTGTCTGCTGTAAATCTGGAAAAAAAAAAAAAAAGCCAACCCAAACCTGACGCTGCAGCACTGATTCAGCCCAAATGAAGCCTGTGAGGAGAGAAAGCTAGATAGAATTTTTCAGTACTAATCACTAGAAAAATCGGTTTCAGTTCAGCTGGAATTCATGCTGCATTTGGCAAACTATTTAGTCATGAAACTGAAGCCCAAAAATAATTTTTGAAAGAAATAAAATGTTTATGATGTTCCTGAAATACAGAGTTTTTATTTAGCATTAGTAGCAATATTCGATATTAAGTCTGTAGTTTCAGCTTGAGCAAACTTTTTTGCTGGAACCCAAAGTATTTTTCTTGTGTAGAAAAAGACACTAAGGATGCTTTTTTCAGACTAACAAAGAGTCTGATTTTGTTCAATTCATTAGCATCTGTCTCTAAAGCAAATAGTTTCAGAAGCTGTACAAAAGCAGACCTTTAAGCTGTGAGGGTGGCATTCAAGTAATGCCACCCTCACAGCTTAAGAAGACTCACTGATTATATGAGACACTTCAAAATGGAGTGTGTCCTAGGAATTTTTTTTATAATTCATATTTTAATTGAGTAGAAGTGAGGTTTTCCATATGGAAGCCAACCAAAGTCATTATGATGAAAGCCATTAAGATATATTTATGATTTAAGTAATTATGATATGTATGTTTAAAACTAGGACTTGTAGACATTAACAGATATAGACGTTAATATAACTCTAGATAATAGCAAATCATTATTGATAGCATGTCTGTTGAAGACGATACTGAGACATAAAATGTCGCAAAAAATGAAGACTTCATGTTATTTACCTCACAGACAACATGTTTTATTAAAAGTTATGTGTTATTGCAGATAATATGCACAAAAGAGTATTCTCATAGAGGCCAGGTCTTAACCTCAGTTTTGTAGGACAGAAGTTATAAAATTTACAGTTACATTAATAGGTTTACATGCTGTTATTTGTTATAAAATTACCTTGAAATAGAGTAAAAACTAGCGTAAAACAAGGAATTTATAAACTAATTGCATATTATAAATAAAAAAAGAAAGCATCAGAGAAACACTAACTCTGGCTTGATCATTTTATTCTCCCGTAAGTAATCAAGACAGCAAAGAAAACATCACATTGCATTCTATCTAATATGAATTTTCCATCAAGAGTTATATATGTGCATGTTCACTGCAGGTGTTCATGCACACAATTACTTGTGGCAAACACATTTTCCCCAGTACCGGGGGGGTGCGCTCTTGCTCCTTTCTCTTCTCTGCTAAACAAATGGCGGTGCATGATCCACGGCACTTCCTTTGTGCAGGAAGAGTCAGAATTTCTGTGTAGTTCATCAATCTCTAAATTTTTCTTTCAGTTTTACTCTTTTAAGTGTTTTGGAATAACTTGTTTACCCCTTTGGCCTCTTTGGCATGCCCTGTTAAGCCTGTATGTATGTATGTATGTACTTTTTTTTTTTTTTTTACAAATCTAATACTTCAGTGCTGCTGGAGATACAAACAAAATGTGATACTTTGAGACAAAATTAGGGAACTACACTAGACTCGTTAGCAGCGATATTCTAAATAGTGAAAAGGTATGAAATATTATTTGTTTTTCCAGTGTATTGTTTGGAGGGGTAATACAGCACCCGTGCTGGGTCATACATCCAAACTCAACAAATGAATTCTTAGTGAAACTACTCATCTGTGTATGTTTACAGGCTCAGCTCTATGTTTGCATCTAATTAATGTATACATTTGCTCTGTACATATAGGATTTTATTCTTTAATTTTGTAAACTCTGATAACACGCTTTGATTTTCTTCGTTCCCTAAGACAGAAAGAGCATAGGAGAAAATCTTTGGCTTGTGTCCTAACGCATTTATCACTAGGAAGGAGGTATATATTTATTCATATTTACACATATACACACACTTCTGTGTAGCTCTTCTATCCCTGTTGTTGGAAAGCAGAAATTTTACAATCAAAACCTTTGAAGTAGTAATATTCAGACTTGAGAATTCATGCTGAGTTCTACTGGCTTAGGGGCCCATATGTAGAGACACGTTATTCAGAGGCAGAAATTAATTACAGGTAAAGGGAAGTGAAGCACACACGATCATAGGTCAAGTACGGCTCAATCTTGGGTGTGCTGGTGTGGACCATTCTCTTCTGTTCACTCTTCTCTGGTGTGTTTCTAACATGGTATTGGAATACCAGTGGTCTGAAAAGTCAGCAGTAAAATCATAGTTGACATGAATGTGGTAACAGCACCAGTATTGCTAAAGTTAGACAAAAATTTCCATTTTCAGTGAGGTGAAAATACAAAGTCTGCTTTGCATTAGAGGAGGAGTTCCTACCTCATGCTGTGGGACTCAAGAACTATTTGGTTATTAATTATTTTTTTCTGGCAGGTAGTGATAAAGAAATCACATCACTAGGAGTGTTTGTAAAGTTTAATGTGATACAGTACTTTCAAAATTCTACAGCATCTGATTTCTCTTCAGAAGCCATAACATGGCAGCAATGTGTTATCTTTCCTAACAAGTAAACAGGAAGGATGTTGTAAAGTTTTCATATATACACTTACTTTGAATTGTTGGTATTCCTAAATTCACTAGTCAAAATCAGCATTGTCACTAATGACAAGATGGAAAGTTTACTAAAACAATGTCTCTCAAGACAAGGGATAACATTTCAGGAATTACACTGAGTTGTTCAGTACCATAATGGGTGACCTTATATTCCGGTACTGATAGATCAGTGTCCTACAGCCCCATGATACTTTCCTCATAGTGGGAAAGCTTTCCTGTTTCAACCTTGCTGTAGTCACTGTTGTTTTGTGTCACAAAACAAGTTTGATGAACTCAGCTGATACGCAGTTTTTTGGAATACTTTGAGACACAAGTTAATGGTACCTAGGAGTGTATTAACTGCATTATAGTAAATAATGGGAAACCAACAGGAAGTTTCCCCCTCTCTGTGTTTGGGTATTTTCAAATATAGGGATAGGTGGAACAGATTTTCGCATTGCATTACATTTTATATAAGTATATTATGGCCATGGTTTATGAAGGTAAGACTGATTTTTAAAGCATTCACGCAAAATACTGAAACTCAGTGCAAGAGAAAAGTGAGAACAGATCGCTGCATTACTCTGCAATCAGGCCTCAAGAACTATGTGTAAAACCACATGGAGTTAAACTGAAAAAGATTGCAAGAAGCAGTAGCAAAGGATTTAAATCAGGTGAGATTACAAGTGCTCTGGAAATTTCTGCTGTAGATTCTAAGTTGCCATCTCTTTTCAATCTCAGTGTGTCTTTACCCCATGGATTGACATGACCCTTTATTCAACCTAGGCTTGGATGACTTTTGTGCTACCTTCCAGGAAAGGAATTGTTTTTTGCAGCTCCCTCTCGTATTCATTTTGAGAAAAGGATTAAATCTTCCCTCTGACCAAGCATACAGGCATGCTAAAGTGAAGCCACTTCACGCTCCTGGCCAAAGAAAGAACAAAAATACCCACAATAAGCAAAAGCAGATGGCTTCAGTGGCAGGAAATGAATGAGCCAGACTGCAGGTAAAATCGTTCTCTGAACACATCGCGGAGGTTTGTAATGACAGGTTCTTTGTTATCTGGGGCCTCTCCACAGGAGGCCAGATGTCTTCTGTTGTGAGAGGAGATAGATAGAGATGCTCTTCCTTTTCCTCCCCCTTTAACTTATGGCTGTTTAAGTTACTGCTAATGGAAGTGGAAGCCTGTTTTCCCCCTTGCTCTCTGATGTTTTTGGAAATAGAAGAGATAGTGAAGGGGTATTCCGATATGAAAGAAAAGGCCCAGAACTGCCTTTACCTCCCCATGACCCTCATTTTAAAGAACAGGGAGGTCAGTGCTGCTAATTGCACTTGAAAGGATTAACCACTTGATCGCTTTCATTTGGTGGAACAAAACTACTCTTTAGTCTCAAAGCTAGGAAAATGTATCAGCAGTATTGAGACACTTTCGGTGTGAGGTGGATGACTTGGTTGGTTTGGCTTCTCATACCAGTACTGAAATTAAACACAGGATTTAAATATTTTTACAGAGGGAGCAGGAGATGGAAGAGAAGGGGGAACTACATCTGCTGTTCAGGCAGAACAGATCTGCAGCAGAAGTAACAATAACCTTCTTCGTGCCCTCATAAAAGGTTATCATAGGAATATCAATGGCCCATAATTAATTATGGATATTAGATGTGCCTCTGTCACTTAATATAAGAATGATTCTTGCATTACACTGACGTTGCACTGGAAGAAAAAGAATCTGAACTCAATTCCTGGACACAGTGTTCAGATTAAAAATCTTTTCTGTACATTGATTTCACCTGAGAATTAAAAGTAACTTACTTTTGGAATAGATTTTTAATTCCCATTGTTTAAATAAAGTGAGATACATAAAACTTAAATTTGGAAACCATTTTTAACTGTATGAAACTATTTTCCAAAAGTAACAAAGAACAGCTTATATAAGCTTTTATCTGACCTCTGCTTCTTAAATAAAAAAACATGTTTTCAGGGAAATGTGTCTTGGAAATAACTCCCCCTCCCCCCCGCCCCGATTTTTCTCTCTGGTTCTTGTAAAACATTAGGTCAGTGGGTTCATTTTATTTTTGTTTGTTTAAAGTGGGTGAAAGTTTCCTTCTCAAGCTATTATACTTGTGTGATTTTTTTAAAAAAATATTACAGCAATCTTTGCTTAAGAAATACAAGAACAGATGGAAATGTCAAAAGACTATCGAAATTCATACCAAAGGAAATAGCATTAATCATTGTAAATAGCTAAAATAACCTCTTAATAGCAATAAGAACCAAAAGAATAAGAAATGTGTTGTTTCAATAGCAGTGAGACATGACTGCTGATTTTTCCCATTGCCTGGCACATTGAACTCACAATATACTGAACAGCTGTGCCATTGTATATGTATATTTAAAAACAACCTTTCTCATTCTGGCTTCAAGCCTGGGTTTCTCGTGGTGCTGTTATAGTTCATGCACACGTCATGCACACTCGTGCCTTAACGAACATCTCTTTTTGCAAATGGAGATGATGTGTTCTGGTTGTCCACTGAAATACTTTTTAAAATGCATTAAATTGTGCAGGTAAGCATACAAATCTGAAGTATGACTTGCAGAAAGAGTGTATGTGTATCTTGTGTTTTAAGCAGTATTAACTTTGATTTCAGTATTGTGAAGCCTTAAAAATCATAGCACAGCTGATTTGTATGGGTTGCTCTGTAAGCATAAAAAGATTTTCTTGAAGTACTTTTCAAGGCACTGTTTCTGTGTTCACCAAGGTGTGAGGGTACCCTCCTGGAGAGTAGGCTGCAGGTGATAATTTAGCCAGATTTGTTAAGGGAAATATACAAGACAAAATTTCAGAATTTGTTTAAAAAATAATCTATTACAATGTTTAGATCTTTATCCCTTTGACAAGATTTAGTTTTTTATTAACATACTTCTAAGAATATTCAGAAATATTTATCCATTTCATATAGTACCTCTAATGAAGCATTTTTTCTACCTTAAGACTTTAATTTCTACCAACATGATTTTTTCTGGCAGTACATCCTAGTATGATAAAAATATAGTTGTATAACTCTCTGCTTGTAAATATATAGCTTAGGTCTATTACCTCTGGCAGCATTAGCTGTGCTGGTATAGCTTGGCAAAGACATGCATGTGTAATTACATTCACATGTGATGACTCTGCCAGCAGTGCTAGACATACCAGCAAAAATTTCATCAGCACAAACAAAGTCTTATTTATGCTGTTCAAATTTGCACTCTTACTGTAAAATAAAAAACACAGCAGATCCACAGTCTGCCTAATTTAAGGAAATCTTGTTGGAAATGTCAGAACCACATTCTTCCCTGCTCCTTGTTTCTGCAAATTACTTTGTTTTAGGTCCTGCAAAAAGATCTACATTTTCAGTGTAAATGAGCCCTTTCTGCTGCTTAGAATACAAGTATGTGGCATCTACAAAATTTTACCGTCTATGATATGCCATAGTGACACTTGTTAGTGTTCCCCAAAATAATAACTATTAATAAACACTTAAATAATTTCTTTGAAGTAGTCTAAAATTATCCAAGAAGTTGAGAATAATCTTAATATAACAGTATATGAATGGCACTATAGAAATCATGCACTTCATAATGATGTTTAAAGAGATTGCCATTTTCTATTAGTAGGACAATTTTCCAGAATTAATCTTGGAAGTACTTAACTTATAGTCTATTCACTTAATGTGGTCTTTCATTTTGTATTGGTGCCCCTCCCCCCAACCCCAAATTAAATACCATCCTAGTAATTTCAGTAAGCTTTTGAAGTCATGAAAGTAAAATCAGTATTTTAAACACAAAGAAAACATCTGAAACAAACTATTAATAATAATAAAAAGCCAGCATGCTAATTCCTTTTTACAGTTAGAGAGATCTCTCCTTACAGCAAGAGGGGCCAAGTCCTCCTATCCCACCTCAGGAAATACCCTGCCTGTGGTGAGCATATCAGGTCTATAGGTTCAAACGCAGCAGTATTTATCTGTTTCCAAATAAGTAATTCTGATCAGACTGCTCATCTGCGTAGTTCTAAAACCTCAAGTGTGCAGGAGGAGGTTTACAGCTTGCTTTTGGACAAACACTGTAGCTGTTTGTCCCAAGTACCAGTTATTTTCACATTTCAGTTAGATAAAAATAGTTGCATTTGTGTAGTTTATCATTACAAAAGAAACCAAATAAAATATAGTGTTACTTACCTATAGACAGACATCTTACTCTTTTCCTGCACAACATTTGGCATTTTTAATCAATGTGTACATAAATGAAAAGAAAAAAAGCAGATTATCATATTGTCCTTTGTAGTTCTCTTTCAAAATCTCATGATGATAGTCCACAAGAAAATAATAAATTGCTTCTATTGTGGAAAGGTATGTATCTGGCTTTCCCTTCTGATGACGCCAAAAGCAAGTTTTCCTTGTCTTCAACTCAATCTGCAGCAACCCTGTCAAGAAAAAAAGATGACAGATTAGACGTTGTGGATTGGTGGATGGAATGCCAAACAAGTCTTTAGTTTTGTTTTCTGTCTTATTTGCATGCAAGCTAGCAGCAAATTTCTCTTCCTGTACTTCCATTTTTCATCTGTAAAATGGAGGCAACAATTTTATCCTCCTTTGTGAACCACTTTGAAATTTGATGAAAAAGTGCTGTAAGTTCTAGGTTGCAATATTAATATTTGCAATTAAAACTTATATCCTTTATATAAGGGTTTATATAATTATATCCTTTCATTCACACAGCCTCACAGTCCTCAGTAAACTGCAGGGTCTCTTTGGATGGGAAGAGTGAAACCCACACCTATAAACTCATCAGTGTTTATAAAGTGATTAATAAACTTTTGCAAAGCTAATGCCTTTCAAGTGTAAAACAGAATCTCTCAGACAGAGTTTTGCTGAACTGAGGAATATTTGCTAAAAGCCAGACACTTTTCACTTATGCTTGTTAAGTAACTGAAATCTCACTGGGATTACTCAGGAGTAAGCATGACAGAATCTGGTCATTAATTTTACTAGGAACTAAAAGTGTTCCCATGTTGAGATAAAAGAAAGAAATTTGGTCACTGCATGGAACATGAAAATCTTTTATCTACTATAATCTCTGCAACTGTTTTATTATTCAGATGGATTTTAAACATATATCTTGATTTTTTTTATGTTTCTTAAGCTGCACAAACTATTCAAAATTAAAAACACCTTAATGTGTAACCACTTTGTAAACAGGATGGAAAGCTGGATTATAAAGAAAAGCGTATATACCTGTCAGTCCCTGGATCAGGTTGTAAAATAATCTTTCTCTAAATGTTAAAATCAGGTACTAAGCGTGTGTCATGGCATAGTTAAGTAAAAAAAAAATAATTAAAAGATAAATAAAGTAATAGTATAAATAACAATACAGTTAAGAATTGCTTGGAAGCTATGGGCAGAGAAGTTTCACTAAGGTCCGAATTCAGGAGTGCAACGTGGCCTATAGCCCAGCACTTGTAACTCTATACTTTTTACCTTCAAACTATATTTAATTCTTTCTAGTGTATTTGCAAGATGGATTTTGGCTTTTCAGTGAGTAATGTATGATATCTTGCATAGTAAAAGAAGTCTCTCTCTCAGTGCTTTTAAAAAAGCTGGACAGGGGATTCCATCACTGAATTTAAATGTTATTGCTGGTATTTTGGGATTAAAAATTCAAAATAATGTAGCCTAATTATTACTTCTCATAATCCTATACACGTGTATTCAAAACAGTAACAGGAAACTGCACTGAGCTTGTTGCCCTCAACATGTTTCAATATGTTACAACTAAGAAAGATTCTAAGTTTTTATCAACAAGATGTATGTAAGGCATAAAGTTTACACACGTGCTAAAGCCTGTTGCTTACTCTGAGCCTTCCATCACCTCTTTGTCCCTGTAGTTTATACAGTGAACTGGGAGATCCACTAGTTCAAGAAATACCAGTGTTGAAAATATTAAGTAATGACTAATTATGGTTTGTACCTATGGCAACTAGTAAGAGTCTAAGCTTACTAGTGGGCCATTGTTATTTTAATTATACTGTTAATTTCCTAAAGAGCTAGCAGCTTGGAAATGCTAATTCAGGCAGGAATTCTGCTCCTTTCCTAATTTTTTAGATTCGCAAGGTTTACGTACCTTGGACTCACCTTGCCTCTGCTATGGCCCACTTCATATGTTATTTTAGACAATGTGGACACTCGTGACAGAACTCCCACTTTTTCTTTGCATCTAAGCCCATAGTGTTATTTTGAGGGAAGAAGAAAGATGAAGACATGAGGACAAGAGATTTGCCAGAAAAAGAGGATGAGGGGAGTTTACCTCAGAAAACATTAACTTACTGCTGTCAGATGTCCAATCTGTGCATAGGCGAAGGCTCCCATTTTCTTGCAAAAATGAAAGCAAGCACAGAAACTTAAAAAACCCCAAACAACTAAAGCAGATGTATGATTCATGAGAGTATAGTAGGTATCCCCTTGTATAAGAGGATGTATAACCTATTAAAATAAAACGTTTGGCTAATACAAAGTGGATCAAACTTACAGGAAAAAATACCAAAGCAATCTGTTTCTTTAACAACCGTAGTGATACTGCCAATAAGCTTCATCACTCATCAGAAAGTAATCCTTAACATTGATGCAACTGTTTCCTTTCTGATCTAGAGATCACTTTTAATGAAGTAATCAATCCTAGACATTACCAACTTTCAAGTATTTCCTGTCTTTAATACAACTGATTTAGTTTTGCTCTCCAAAGATATATTGCACCACTTTTTTCAAAAAGACACAGAAGTACTTTTTGTCCAAGTTTTCTAGGCTTTTTTTTTTTTTAAGATTGATGTACTCATTTGCTTTCTCTTGCAGTACAATTAGCTAGATTTACTCTCTATAAATGCAAGCTTACAAAACACAAGGCTTTTCTTTACATTTTCTTGGCTTCATTAGTGTTTCCATCCAGTATTTCTTGTAAATTTATCCTTCTGAAAAAGTACAGCAATTACTTTTCATTTGGAATTACGAACTATCATTTTTGAACTTTAACATACAAGAAATATTTTGTTGGATGATGACTTCATTTGTAGTTGAACTGAAAAATGACAACAGTTCTCTATTTTTCACTTGTGTACAACAAAAATTTCATCAGTTTATGCCTAAGGAAACTCTGCTCCATTCATCTTGGAAGCCAAAACAGCAATCTCTAAAAGGAGATTTAAGGCAACTTAGGTCCTTTATAACAGGCACTAAGGAAAACAATGAATGCATGGGTTGTGCTCACTGCTGTGCCTGCCATGGAGGGCAAAATTCTCCTCTGGCTGTGAATAAAAGACGGACATGCGTGACACTAGTCACACCTTACAGCAATCCTGAAGGGAAGCAGACAGCTGGAATACAACTGGAACAGAGATGAAGTTGTAGAAAGGAGGAAAAAGTTCACCAGATCAGCATTCACATTGGGGTAACTGGAAACCAGTCTTTAAGAGCTCCAAAGTAGTAACAATCACAAATTTTTGACTGATGCACTACATAAGCGCCCATGGAAATCTTCAGTTCCTCTGGCTGCCTATTACTTTTCTTAAATTCATTCTTTTAAAATAAGTTCCAAATGCTTTACAGTAACTTGCAACATACAATTACTCTAATCTTTACAATAATGCTTCAATTTATTTGATAGAGTATGTTTTGTGTTAAACTAAATACTTAGTAACAGGATTTTAATTAGCCAATACATTATACTAACATGTGGGATTCTTTAATGGACTGACTAGACAGCAAGGCAACAGTCATCTTGCATGTTAAGAAGTCTGTAAAATGCCTTGCAGGGCCCACTGCAAAGCAGGCACTAATAAGGAGTAACATGCATTACATACAAACTTCGTAGCCTGTCTCCAAGCTAAATGCACCTTTTTCACTAACTGAAAGTATTTTCAAACTCCTATTTATCTCAAAGGAAAGAGAATGCTATTGCTAAAATGCTTGATCTTTTATGGTTTTATATCGAATACTTCACTGTAAACTTCTTGTAATGAATCTAAGGCAAAAAAAACCCTTGCAGAATTACAAGTTTTTGCCTTCAGAGATGGGAGGGTGTGGAGGGTAGCAGGCATTCCCCTTTTGTCTGGGAAGGAGTGATGTCATTAAAATGACCATGAAACAAAGAACTGTACTAGAAAAAGAAACCAAACCATGACATACTTGTGCTGTATCTCCTAGATCCCTCTTTCACCTTCTAGTGGCCTGTCTGCCACTAATGTGTCCAAAAATTCTCCCCTGGGTCTCCTGAAAAAGTAGATAACCACCTGCAAAGGAAACCTTTCTGGCTTCTTTCAGAGGTCATTCAAACTCTTGTTCTTCGGCTGTCCAACTTGAGAGCTTCCTTTCTGTGAGACTGAGGAAATTTCTTCCAATAGTAGGAGAAATAAGTGTAAATGCTCTCTTAATTCTAGTCTTATCATTTTGCAAAACAAATTATATAGAGTCTTGGGCTTGGGAATTCTTCTATAGCACTGAAACTGGATGTTGAATCTTTCATACATACACAGATATAGCGTTAGCTATACACATATCATGCTCAGGTCTATTATACAGATATATATTTCCCTCAATCATTTCTGTAGCAATAGCATTTCTGTATCAACTTTTTTTTTTTTACCTTGAAGTCGTTCATCAGTTATTATTTTGTTAGTTTGATTCCAGGTACTGTCAATAAATATTATTTTCTTCAGTCTAGTGCCTTCATTCCTGTTGTTCGAGATGCATTCATTTAGATTTTTTTCTTCTTTAGGTTCCATTTTTGCTTGCTTAAGAACTGGCTCTCTGGAACAGTCATCATCCTTATCACAAACACCCTTCTTACTGTATTTTTGGAGATGAAAAGCAATATCTTTTACTGAAACTGAATCTGGGCCAGGAAATACAAGTGCTATCTAAATGAAGAAAAGAAAGAAATCTGCGTGTCAACAAAATGTAATACAAGGAACGGTTTCATTAAAGAACATAAATTTTCTGTCCCCACCCAAAAACATTTAAGTCAATTAAACATTTAAGACAAGAGTATCTCTTAAAAAAATATTCTATTGTCTAAAATGATAAATGACTATGTTAAATTAATGAATAAAGATCTTATTAGAGATCTTTAATTAAATGTTGCCTGCATGCTTCTACTACCAATTCTAATACTTTTGTAAAAATTTTCTTTTCAAGACAACGGTGTCAACCCTGAGGAAGTCCGAATTTTATTTCTTGTTGCAGTATATGGAGAAGAAAGGCCATAAAGAATAGTTTCTAATTTGATTCACAAATTTAAAAACAGAAGAAACAATCTCTTCTGTCCTTATGTCTATTGCAGGTTCCACAACTACTTTACATCAGGAAAACCAGTGATGGCCTTAGTATTTAACCACTGTCCTGCTGTAGACCTAAGCTTTGAGAGAGCTCAGGATGGAGTGGACTGGATTAATAGAATAGTGCTTTCCTCCTACTCCCTGCCAGCAGAGTGCAGTACCACTGCAGCAGGAAGTACAGAAGATATCTCTGCATCTCCCCAGCACAAAGCCCTGATATCTATATAGAATTTCTTACTTCATGTCTTTTTTCTTTGTATTCTGGAATGCAAGGGTATTTATAAATTGTAACATCATCGGGTGCCAGGAGCTTAGCATGCACAGCAGTGCTTTTGCCGTCTGTTTCATTTGGGTGTTTAATAATGTCAATCTTCAAAGGTAACTAAGAAAGGAAAAAGAAAAAGCAATATTTATGATCATATATACTGGTAGAAAAATGTGTACAAAAATTATGCAAAACTGAGAAGAAATCCATATGGGCATGTAATTAAGACATATTTGACAATTTTTGACAGTATTTTTCTTTTAATAAGTTTAGAACTAACCTAGAGAGAAGTGAAAAGAAGCACCTGTACATTATCTCAGTTCACGTAAATACCTAAGTATGCAATGAATGCAATTTGGAATGTTGCAATAGTAATGTGGTAAAAGCTCTAGAAAGAGTATTCATAAGGTAAAAAAGATGTGGTCTGAATATTATAAAAAAATCCATAAGAAAGACTGACCTTCACAGTCGGAATTTCTTTGGTTGGAACAGTTTCAACAGGAACAAAGCATGTATAACAATAAAACATCCTTGAACTACTGCATCGGGGGCATTTTGATCTCCCACTCTTTTTTGCCTTTTCTAGTACTTCCTGCGACGCTAACTGCAGTTGTTGAAGTGGGTTATCTTGAAACGATGATGTACTCTGCAATTCTAGACTTTCCAAACATTCACTACTTCTTTTTGGTCCTTGAGAGTTTTCTTCATTTAAAAGTGTAGAAGAATTCATAGACATGGTGAGCTGAAACAGACAACATATTACAGCTGTTAAATAAAAAATCTAATATGCTACAAACTAATTTATTGGAAATTACTCTGTATGATCTGTATTTAGGAAAAAATACTCATCAAAAACGGTATTTCCTGTAACAGAAAGAATAATAAATTCATCTGATTCAGTTGTTATAGCACCGACAACTCCAAACGGGTTTCAGGAGAGCACGATACAAACAGCTAGAAAGAACTTGAGATCTGTATTATTAATGCACATATACGCACGTTCATAATTTTATTAAGGTAAGTTATCCCACTTAACTCATGGAGAATTATCTTTTTTTTCTCTTGGTAGGATCAGTGTCTAAAAGCTTGTGAAAACACTGGTAGACACTATTTAAGTGGATGAGCAGTCCCATTAGTCTTCAGCACGACTATTGACAATGAATTAAATGTCTACATGACAGAAATCCGTAAGAGAATTAATTGTACAAATTTAGTTCTGTATCCTGAAATTTATTGTGTGTGGGCAAACTAAACTGCCTGAATGAAATCACTGTTGACAGAACTTTGTAAGATAAAAGAAATCTTTTCCAGGAGCAAGACCCGAGGCTGAAAAATTAGTCTTGAGCTAAAGCGTGGCTTTGGTGCTCCATATACTACATGGTAAGTGTTGACCCACTCTAGACTCATTCTGCAAGTTTGTATTTATTTAATAACATTGATTTTTTTTTTTTTTTCTTTCCAGGCTTTCTTCAGGACAGATGTTGTCTAGCTCTCCACAGCTGGCATACAGTTCTCACTGCGTACTGTGGGTAAGGTATCAGGAACATGACTGTGTGCCCACAGCTGATCTGGGCAGGATTGGTATTGCTGTGTGCAGAGCTTCACAGTCACAGTTTTAGCAAAACCCTTCTGACTTGGGGTCCTCTCTGGTCTTCAGAGCAGCCCACAGTCAGGAGCCTGCACAGTCTCCAGCAGTTATAAACTGCCTTTTGCACTCTGTGCTGCATCACTTAAAATTAAAAAAGTCATTCTCAGTATTTACTTTCAGCTAATTTAGGTTTACTTTGACATGTCAGGGATCACACTTGTGAAATGATGTAACAAAATAGTCATGTTTAACAAAAACAAACAAACAATAATTCCTGAGATGTGATCCACAATTAAGTGTTTAAATAAAACCAAGTGTAACTTAATTGGAAAATAACAAAAACCAAAATACTTGGCTAACTTTCCAATAAAAATTTAAAATTAATCCCAGAAAAATTAGTTGCTAGTTTCTGGTAAAATTAAATACTCATGCATGCTGTGATACCTTCCCCTCCCCCGCGAACAAGCTCTAACTTTTGAAAGGTCAGGGATGTCCATTCTAACAAACACAAAATCTAATATGCACACAAATTTTATACCGCAATTGGCTTTTAAATATATCTGAGATAAAGCATCTCAGACTGACCCGTACTATTACCAAGATTCTTCAAGAAGTGCAGAGTGCAAGAGGCCCTGTAAGTTGACCTGCATTCCCAGCCTGCAAACAGGCTCAGTATCATTTCTCAGTGTAATGAATGTGGCGTGCAACTGTGACACCCCGAAGCACTGCCATTATCCATACTGGTAAGAGAGATGCTGCCCTGATGATGGCACAGGAAAACCTTTGTGGTCTCAAAATAATAGCTGTTGACAAAGTTACAGCAGCCTACCTAGGGTTTCAAAACAAAAGACAGCAGCAGAGTTCACACAACCTGCAAATCCAAATCCCAACTCACACAGAAAATTTTAAGACTGTAAATAATAACTCCATCTACACCTGATCTGCAAAACGCAGATAAATCACTGGCACTGGAGGGTCCCCTCCACATTCCCACTGCAATTCTAAGACAACTTAAAACCTCCGTCAGGACAGAGTCAGGGCAGGTTCATAGAATCATAGAATCATTTAGGTTGGAAAAGACCCTTGGGATCATCGAGTCCAACCATCGACCCTACTCTACAAAGTTCTTCCCTACACCATATCCCCCAACACCACATCTAAACAGCTCTTAAACGCATCCAAGGATGGTCACTCAGCCACCTCCCTGGGCAGCCTGTTCCAACGCCTGACTACTCTTTCTGTGAAAAACTCTTCCCTAATGTTCAGCTTAAACCTACCCTGTTGTAGCTTGAAGCCATTCCCTCTTGTTCTATCACTAAGAGAAGAGACCAGCACCAACCTCTCTACAGTGTCCCTTCAAGTAGCTGTAGAGAGTGATGAGGTCTCCCCTCAGTCTCCTCTTCCTCAAACTAAACAGTCCCAGCTCCTTCAACTGCTCTTTGTACTATTTGTTCTCCAGGCCCTTCACCACCTTCCTTGCCCTCCTCTGCACCCACTCCAGCACCTCGATATCTTTCTGGTATTGAGGTGCCCAGAACTGGACACCGATACTCCAGGAGCAGCCTCCCCGGTGAGGAGTGCCATCTCCTCTCTCATATCAGGCCTCAGCTGGCGGCGGCAACAGCTGCTGAGGAGGCACCAGATGCCCTCAACCTCCAGCGGTGGGGAGATGTCCGCTCCACACCGCGGAAGGAGCCCCAGGCACGGCCGCGACACCCGAGGAGAGGCGGGAC